AAGAGTATATATATATATATATATATATATATATATATATATATATATATATATATATATTTCTTTTTTTGTTTTCATATTTTATCGTCACTCCAGGCTGACATGTGTGTGCTTATTGAACGGCAGCGTGTGAGTTCTGTGATTCAACTGTCTATTATTTATAATTATTTTACATTACACTGTATAGTTACTTTACTAACGTTTACAGTGAACTCTTTTGGAAAAACATGCATTAAGCAACTTTCTGAACAAGACTGTTAGTATTAACAGTCCGATAATCACAGAAGTCACACGCTGCCGTTCAATCAGCACACGAGTGTCAGCCTGGAGTGAAGACATCTGATCAAAAACAATGGAAGACTCTTTCATTTCTAACAGGCTTCATGTAATTCATTATGTTCACACTCATAAAATGTTCAGTTCTTTGAGATATATAAGTAAGTATAAATAAAGGCTTGATATCAGATTCTGTCTGTTCAGAGCAAGGTTTTCTAAACTACAGCACTGAATGTCTGTTGTTCCTGAAGGTGGCGCTGTTGTTTGTAGTGACCGATGTTGAAGTCAATAACAGCCCATGAAACTCCACATGACTGCAGCGCTGACAGTAAATGTGCTGAATGTCCATTTTAGACTCACTTCTTACAACAAATGTATGTTACAGAGTTATGAAGTTTGCAGGTCTATATTTTTGAGTATTAGTCTATTTATGTATGTATTGCATTAATACAAATTTATACAAATAGACACTTTATGAAATACAAACCTAAAACAATAAGTCTTATGTACAGTTACCAGAATGCTTTGACATTAGATTTCCGTGTGAACTTTCAGTTCTTAAAGGGGTCCTATTATGCTTTTTCCCTTTTTCAACTTTAGTTAGTCTGTAATGTTGAGCATAAAAAAGATCTGCAAAGTTACAAAGCTCAGAGTCCACTTCAAAAAGAGATATTTTATTTAACAGAAATCACTTTTCAAAAACTACAACGAACGACTCGTTTGGACTACAATGCATATTTTCCGGGATTTGTGATATCACAAATATCGACGAATGGGACGAGACCTGGTTGAGCTGCACTAGAGAAGGCTACGAATGTTAACACTATGTCGGAGACACGCTAGCTTTCCCAAGGCAGACGAACTTAGAGTGGTTACAATCATCCGGGTTTAAATCGCGCTCAAATTGATTTGATTTTGACGCAGTATTTACGCTGAAGCTCGCAGGGCTATGGTAAGGGGCATGACATTTCCCGACCAGGTGCCGAGTGCTGCCAATCACAACACACACTGGCCCGGCTATCGAATCACAACA